CCTATTAGAAGACACGGAGCTATTCTTTTATGCCAGTATGAGCCAAACTTTCCAAAGGGCCCTCTCCCGAACCTTTCTAAAGGACTCTCTCTTTCAGGATGTCCACTTCAGACCTGCTAAACACTTTGCAACTCAAGCTAACATGAATGGAAGCTGTGGATGCTTGGCATCTCTGAAAATTAGGCCCAGAGTGAACTGCACAGCCATAACACAAGGCTCTAACTGGCAGTTATCTTTGAGCCAGTCCATCACTCTTTCTCTTGGGCTGCATGGGCACTTTGACTTAGGGCTGCTTCACTAAGCACATAGCCACAACGTCCTCCGAGTAAAAGCTTTGTAAACACCCCAGGATCTGGTTTGAGATGCATACTATAAGAAAAAAACTGTGGGACTATAGAGGAATCACAAGCTACCATATTTAAAAGCAATAATTCTATTTTTTTATAAGCTGTGGGGATCCTTACTATTATCTTTGCAATTTGTTTACAGTGACATCTAGATATGACAATGACACTACCTCCAGATAGCCACATTCCTAAGAAGCAGAAGACATAAATTAGTTCTTTTTAAAGGGAAAATAGTATCAGGATTTGGAAGATCCAATTTAGCTGAGTTAAAATGGATTATTAAAGACAACTTTCGATTCAATCTGACTTTTTTAGCCTGGCTGTTTTGGAGGAAATAGGAAATCCACAGAGCCCCATCTAGTGATGACATGAGGAATACCAAGAGTCATCTTATTTCAGTGCTTCTCCAGTTTCACTTAAATCCTGCGAAGGACAGCTAGCAGTGATGGTCAAATGTGATTAAAAAAAAAAAAAGGCAAATATTGGTAACATTTTAACAGACTTCCCCCCTATTGTTCAACCAATGACAGAACAAGTTGAAAGTTTGGACGATGAAGAAGGGAATATTTTTTTGAAAATTTGCATCACAAATCCCACTTTCCTCCATTTAGAGCAAGTAGAGCTGTATCTCTCCATCAGCTCTTGTTCATCTGTAAATCTACTGAGAGCTTCTCTTTGCTCCTGCATTTGCTTATGGGCAGTCCAAATGGCAAATAGTCTGAAATATTATGCCTGGCAGCAGAAAATCACTTAGCAATATTAAGCTGTGATAATACATTACATTAATATTTTTAAAGTAATTTCAGTTGCGTGTTACTGAGGCAAGTGCAATAAAACCCTCTGCATAAAATAACTTTCTTTTAATAGCATTTCAAAGCCAGCCAGAAGAAGAACATCTTACATATCTTCTGATAACACTTAAAGCTTAGGTCATCTCCTCTGGTAAGCACTATATGAAGGCAGGGTACAAAGACTGTCTCTACTCTAAAGAAGTCACAGTCTAAATAATAAGACAAAAGGGAAACCAGA